AAACAAAGAAAAAAATGCCGATTCAACAAACACCTTACCCGTTCTAGAGTTACTGGTGGCCAAGATAATAAGGAACTGTGAACTCCTCTCGAGGTTTATTTTATTTTTTATCTAATGTTTTATATCTAAATATTTATTTTATATTCACCCAGTTGCCTCCAAATGATATTTCTATCACCACTACCACAATCCCTATGCCACCTCTGCCTAATTTTTAACATAATATATAATTTATTATCATTCACCCCTCACTAGGAGTTAATATAAATAATACTTTATCCGATTCTCTGAGGAATATCATGAATATTTAGAGGGATGTTCAAACGTGAATGTGTAGTGCGGCCAATTTCATTAACATTATTAATGGGGAAATATGCGGTAGTTTTGGCATGGCCTTTATAACAATACTTACGACCGTTTTATGGTTGAGTTGACAATGACGTTCATGATTCTATTTTAGATGGGGATACCAAAACTGACACTTTGGCAGAAATATCATTTTGCGTTCTTCTTTTACCAGTAGCCCAAGGCCTCAGCTTTATCAGAACGCAATGGGTGTTGTACACTGCTTTGGTAATCCGTCATTCATTACTTTCACCTACAACCCTAAATAGGATGAAATTATACATTAATTATTTCCTCTGCAGACGACTGCCCAGATTTATTTTGTCGCTTTTCCCATCAAAAATTAAAATGTCATAAAGGATTTGCCCTTAATTTTATCAGACACACAAAATAATAATTAATCCTCATCATTTATTTAAAAAATTACCTAAATTTATATGGCAAAAAAAAACAAATTTCTTAAAAAATATATAAATAAATTGCATATAAGTTTCACTAGTATTGAATGGCATTTTTGTAATTTAAATAGTAGAATTTTTTTGTACTTAACATAAAGATATAGATAGCCCTTATCAAATTTTCTGATAAAAGGAGTTAACCCACTAATTGGTAAATCCGAGATTTCCCCTTCATGTGATGATAAATTATTTAGAAATTTAACTATCTCCGGGTTTGGGAAAAAGTTTTGAAAATTAATATGGGTTGGACTGGGCTTAGAAAATATTCCTCAATATTAATATTTGCTTGCACCTGACTTGGGAATATCTTTTAAAAATTATTATGGGCCGGGCTAGGAAAAAATTTTCAAAATTATTATGGGTTGAGCTAGGCTTGAGAATTTTTTTAAAAAATTATAAGGTCTTGGACGCTTGGAAATTTCTTTAAAATATTATGAGCTTGGACCTGGTTTGAAATTTTTTAATGTTAAATGTTAGTCTAATGTAATCAGTAATATATTTACAAAGAATTTTGATATTGGGTAAAAGCTCATTTAAATATATTTTGACTCAAAAAATAGTTTCCACTCTTAGTCCTAATGCATTGACGTACGCAGCGGGGGGGGCAGAGAGACAAATCCCCCCCTCCCCCAAAGCCAAAAAATGCAGATGCCGGATATATTTTTAAAAAATATTATTGTTTATATTAATTTATATTTGTTAATATTTATTCGTATCTCATATTAAATATATATTTTATTACATTTATTATCACATTCATAAGTTATTTTATCAATTAATTTCGATTTCAAGTTTTCCGGCGTAATATTTACTTATTATTTTCAAATTTTTAGTGGCGTAATATTTATCTACCATTTTCAAATTTCTAGTCAAATAATAATTATTTCTGAAACTTCTGGTCCAACAGGGAAAAAGAAATTGCAACCTTGTCCAACGAGATAGAGCCTCTTTCATTAAGCACTAACAGCTATTAAGGAGTTAGAAGAGCCAATTATTTGCTATTACTGTAATATCACAATGGCCTGAAAGAAATATTTCTTCAGAAGCAAGAAAATTATTGGATTCAATGCTTATTCCAAATTTTATTTCTCATTAGAATGTATTATTTAATTATATAACTATTTTAAATATTACTTTTCAAAAACATGACATTGATTTGATTAAGAAGATGAGAATAGCGGATAGCATTTTATCAGAACATAAGGAAATTAGGGCTAATGTTGATGAAGAATTTCATATTTTATAGGTTATTGTTGAGTCAAAAGCAGAGCTATACGTGTTTAATATTTGTCTCCCTCGACTTGTAGCAAGGCAAGCATCGTTAAATAGGATCAGTAAAAGAGTATATCTTAGATGCAGATACATTTATAACCCAAATAAATGAATTTTTAATTCATCATGCAGCACTTACATTTGCAAATATTACTTCCACAAAAGCCTTCCCAACCTTTTTCAGATCGTGATAGAAAAAAAAATATTTGTTAGATTTTTATTATGAAGATGTTAAAGTATCTTATGATGCCTTACTAGCTGAATAACTATGTTTATAAGATTAACTATAGTTAATATAGTCCCAAAAAATGCTATGGATGCTCTGCATTATTTCAAACACATTTTAGATTAAATTCCCAATGTATTAAAAGGGTTTATAAACTCTTTCCATTAGTAAACTAATGAGAGAACACTCTCTTTTTTAAAAATAATAACAGAGGCCTGCAGAAGTACCATTTGCAGGGCACGGCCCGGATTTTTTTTAAAGATTTTTTACGGCCCGGCCCGGGTTTTTTTTTAAAAAATTTTTAGGCCCGGCTCGGCTTTTTTTAATTAAATTTTCAGGCTCGGCCCGGCTTTTTTTAAAATAAAATTTTCAGGCCCGGCCCGGATTTTTTTAAAATAAATTATATTTATTTTATATTTTTATAGCTAATAATAACGATTTCAAATAGAGGCTGTTTTAAAAAATACAGCCCGGCCTGAGTGTTTTTTTTAAAATAATTAAGGCCCTGCTTGGGTGTTTTTTTAAGAAAATTTCGGGCCCGGCCCGGGTATATTTAAAAAATTAAAATACTGTCCGGCCCAGGGGCCGGGCCTGCAGGTCTCTGAAAAACATACCAAGAAGTACAACATGTGAAACTAGATTGAAAGGTTTGGATCTTTTGAATATTCATAGGCATTTGACAACAAGCAAGGATGAGATAATTGAAAATTAGCTCAATTCTAACGAAGACTGGAATACAATTATTCCTAAGAAACTTTTTTGTGTAAAGGCTCAAAAAATTCAAATTTCTATTTTGGGTCATGTGATTCTTTGCATATAATTTTTTTATAATTCACATTAATTTAAAATTGTGTATTAGGAATAGTTATTAGTCCTAATAAATTTATGCTTGTTATTTTTAAAAAACAATAATATTTCTTAAAAAAATTTATTATCCCTCCCCCCGACCAAATTCCTGCGTACGCGCCTGTCCTAATGGGTTGGACTTAATGACATTGGTTGGACTTGACCTAAATGGGGAGGGGGGGGGTTAAAAATAATATAAATTGGATATGATTTTTAAATAAAAGGTAACATCTTTCTTAAAAAACGAATAAAATTCTCCTTCTCTGTCATTTTTGACGGGCTATCTACTAGTATATAATATAATTAAATAAATAAAATTTGTAGGCTCTAAATATCATTCTAGATAAAATGCAGGAAATTGTTGAAATATAAAATATGGTGGAATGGAATTTGATAAAATATGATGTTGATAGATATTTTTTTAAAAAATAATATTTTAATATATTTCAAAAATTTTATATATTGCCTTTTAAGTAAAAAAGTAATTTTTAAAAGGATCAGGATCGAATATTAAAAAAAAATAATCCCGATCACGATCCTTAATTTAAGTCAGGATCATAAATCCGGGAAAATTGACAAATTTAGGATCGAATCCAGGATCGACGATCTTTTGATTCAATCCTTTAACAACTCTGGTTAAAGAATCCTTTAACTGATTAAAGAATCCTTTAACAACTCTGGTTAAAGTACAAAACTCTTATAATTAATATTAGAAGTGATGATGAATTTAGGAAACATAACTTAATTTCAGAAAATTTGTTAAAGATCTATAAGAAGATTATTTTCTAAAAATTTTAGCCCAAAGAAATTTTTTTTTACAAAAAGCAATGATGATCTGAAAAAGAGTTATAATATTAATACTTTTGAAATCAAAAAACAAGGGTGTGAAATTCAAATTTTTTGAAGAGAGGGAAATGTGCATAATAATATTTTATTTACATATTTTAACATCATGATGAAATTATTATTATTATAAACATAAATAAAAATCGACGAATAAAAAAAAAGTAACTATTTAGCACTAAAACGCGAAAATAAATTAAACATTAAAAATATGATATAATAATTTTACTGATTCATAATTCCAATATTCGATTATTCAATTATTCAATTTTATTCATATTCTTTATATTAGTCCGAATTTAATATACTATTCCTTATTCATTTATTCTAATATCCAATTCGATCAATTATTATTCCTAATTCATGACTGATTGATGATGATAACAATTTTGAAAACTGTAAATAATAACAACTGAGTGACAAGCAAGCTAGCATGACGAAATTAACGATTGACTAAAACAACTTGGTATTAACAAAAACGATTTGGACAAACCAATGTATAAAATCAAATACAATATAGAACAGCCAAAACGATATACCATTTGGACAACAAGCTCTCAATGATTTGATAGTTTATATCAATGATATGTTGTTATATATATCATTAGCTTACATGAATTTATGGGAAAACTTCTTGATAGAGGGAGAATGTTGAATAATTCGTTTCATATTTTTGTATTGAGCATTTCTTATTTTTGTGTATTTGAATAATTGAGCTTGACTTTATTTTTTTTATTTTTATAATTTTTAATTCTCTGTGAAGCTTTTAAATTGTACAAATAATTTTTGTAATGATATGTTTTACGAAGCAATATATATTTTAGAAATAATATAATAAAATTATTGATCCACCATCATTTAGCTCTCTCAATAATGCATTATTATCATATATTTATAAGTGACCAAATTAATAATTATCGCGCCTTTCTATAGATCGCACTATATTCAAAAGATGTTGTTTTAGCAAACAACTGATTTGAATAGAAAAAACGTAAATGTAAATATTAATAATGAGGAGAGATAGTTTAGTCTTGTCACAATTATTTGAATCATATATAAACGCCGATAGTTTTCTGGAAATTATATCTGTTTATAGGGAAATATGTGAACGTTTAAATTTATTCCCTAAAAGAGGCATACCATTTTATCAAAGGTTTACAATTTTGTTTAATATAATGTACTTTTACATTATAACTAAAAATAATATTAAATTTTTAAGCAATATTTTTTTGAGAGTTTATTGTTGCCTTTTCTGGTTTATAAATCTAAAAAGTACTTTTCAGGTCATTTTAGTGTATGAATTTTGGATAATTATTAAGGGTGGATAGATATCAATGAAAAAAATGCACAATTCATTTTGGCAATAATTAATATTGCTGAAAACCTATAATTAATATTGAAAGACAAAAACTAAAATATCTTTGGATTTAGCATTTTTACAAGTTATTCATGAGAATTATTTATTACATACTAGTTACATTTTAAAAGTTAGTTAAATTTCAAAAGTGACTTGTTGCAAGTTACTTTATAAATAATTTAATTTCATTATTTTATTATATAAAATTTTTACAAATTTTAATTACAGGAAATTAAATCAAAATTAACAAAAGAGAAATCATTCTAAAAAAATTTACCATATAATTATTTGCATTAAAAAAAATAATAATGATCCGCATTGAGCCTAATTTTTTGAGCATGTCCCAAAAAATTTATCTAGCCCGATCCCAAACATATTTAAACCTAACCAAGACCAGCCTGAATTTTTTAAAAAATAAGACCTTACACACCCTGAGCCAAATTATTTTTTACAGTTCTTCTAGCTAAGATTTGCAGATCCTTAAAAATATATAACACATAATATTTCTTTTTTTAAAATAAAAATATCAGCTTTGTATTTTTAATCTGACTGTAACTAAACTATTTTCAAACTTTTTGTCTAAATGTATGTTAGTTTTTCTCCAAAAATTATCTTCTCTAGACTAAACACATGTTTTGCAGGAATGCTTTATCTAGTAAGGCATTATAATAAATAGTGATTTTTTAAATTTGGCAAATCTTATAAAGATTATAAATGACATATATGTATCCATTATTTAACATATTTTTAAAAGTAACTTGAAAATAATCACTTACTACTTGAATATAAAAATTGTATTGAATCGGAATCTTATAAGAATTTTTTTTTACGATATTTTACCTTAAAAAATAATTTGAAAATAATATTTAATTTTGAGCCAAACTTGAATCAAGTTTAAACAGTTTTTTTCAATATTCCAAACAAAACATTAAAATTCTTGGTACAATCAAAATGCTGATATATTTATTTTATTAATATTATGGGTCATTTCAAGTCATTGCTAATCTGACTCCTTGAGATTTTGATATAATTTTATATGTAACCAAGTATGCTTAACTAACAGTGTTTATAAATTTTAAACTCATGGTCCTTATATTTTTGCAGATATCAAGTATCAAAGTATGAAATTATCCTTCATTAAAAATTTACTAAAAACTCCAAATAATATTAATTTTTTTTAAAAATATTTTAAATTTTTCTTAATATGGTGGTACATTTAACACCATTCTAAAACAAATCTCACTAAGCCCAATCCAATTTATATATATATCTATATAAAAAAAAATTTGAATGTCCAGACTATTTCATGAGGAAAATCGATAAAAATAAAAACAAGGTTTAATAGATAGGGTTAGAAAACTATTTTGGAAAATATGATATAATAAGATGTTATTTACTGTTTTTTAATAATTTTTTACCAATAAATATAATTATAGATTCTTAACTATAATAAGAAAATATAAAAACATTATAAATAATATTAGAACAATTGATTAAAAATTATGCTAAAAACAATATTTGTATTTTAATGTTTATATCGATTTCTTTCAACCATTAAAGTAATAACTTGGCATTTCAAAATTTTTATACAGATATAGATTAGTCTTAGTGATATTTGCTAAATTTCTTAGAAGAATCCCACTATTTTTTTATAAGGATTTCAAGCGTTAGAAAGGGGTTGAATAGACAGCCATAATAAATAAAAATTCAAATTAATTTTTCATGCTTTGATCCTTGATATCTCCAAGGATGCTAAAATTTTACAATGCTTTCGTTACGAATTAGTTTATATACAAAATTTCCTCTAAACTCCAAGTGATCCCGCCAAAATTATGTTATCTACTAATCGAATTCACATATAATACCCATATTTATCACGTTTTTTTTTCGAAAATAGATATAAATCAATATATTTTTAGATTAATTTATTTTTTTATAGATTGAAAAGCAAGATTAAATGCTGGAAAGCTTTAGCTCTATGGACGAAGCTTGATAAAAAATGTTCTCAAAAAGTTTACAGGCAACCTAATAGCTGCCAAAATATCAACGTAATACAATTTTTTTTGTGCAATTATGATTTTAAAATTTCCCTAAAATAGGAATATTTCTAATAATTTAATTTTTTGCTGATTTTAAAATACAAACAAATAATCACATAATGCTTCTGCATGTCAATATCATTACTAGAATTTTTTTATATTTATTCTAATTAAAATGACTTGAAATGCAAATTCTTAAAACAAATTACATTACCATTTAAAAGATGTCAATATCATTACTAGAATTTTTTTATATTTAATTTAATTAAAATGACTTGAAATGCAAATTCTTAAAACAAATTACATTACTATTTAAAAGTATAAAGGTAATATCCAATTATTTAATCCATATTAAATTTAGACAAAATTATGATATTTTGATATTGCCCACAGTTTAATTTAGGGATGTGTACCCTTCGGCAAAAAAATGGTTTAGGTTCGGGTGCAGTAAGAAAATTTAAAAAGGGTCCGAGTTCAGGGAACATAAAACATGACTCGACTTTTTTCCATTCATTCATTTTTATACTTCACATTCATAAATTACAAATAAAAAATTTAAAAGTGTGGCTAGATTTCCTCCAGAGGTTAGAGTTAGAGATGACTCTGGGGTAAAAGATACCATTGATCGTTCTCAGGCAATTGTTATAAAAGATTGGATGCGTCTTAAGTCGGTTTTGTTAGCTTCCCATATATCACCTCCGTATAATAAAATGGGGATGATCGTTGAGTTGAATAGCCTCAACCTCATAAAAACTGATATTTCTTTGGACTTCCACATTTTCATATACATGTAGAACGCTTTTTTCGCTTTTTGTGTTCTAATCTTCAATTCCTCCTTGCATTCGCCTTTGTAGTTGAGCGTCACTCCGAGGTATTTGATTTTGTCTACTTTTTTGATTACGTATTCACCTACCAGAAGACTTTGGAGTGGTGGTGTATTTGGCGAGGGGAGAATAACCGTTTTGTTGAAGTTTATCTTTAGACCAACTCTAAGGCTTAGTTTTAATCAGAAAAATCAGTCTCGGTCTCTTCAATGTTTTTTGATATCACGACTAAATCATCGGCATATGAAACAATCCTATTAGCAAAGTGAAGTTTTTCATTTGACCCGAGGTCTGCCAAATCAGCTGCAGCATTTACCTCTTTTATGATCTTATTTATTATGATATTGAAGAGAAGCGGTGATAGAGTACAACCCTGTTTTACGCCTTTTTTTGTTTTGAAATAGGGGGATACTTTATCATTTATTTTGATACACGATGTAAGTTTGGAGTAATGGTTCCTAAGGTGAAAATAATGTTCGATTCAATGCCGCAATCGGATACTGCTACCCATAACCCTGAATTCATAGTGAGAGCGATTGCTATCGCGATTTAAGTCGCGATTTTGCAGCGACTGATCAGCTGGATCGATCGCAGCGATTTACATTCATAGTTCTAAGCGATTATATTAATTCACAAAATGAGAGCCGCCATATTATTTCTCTTACCCTGAATTCATAGTGGCGCAATTGCGATTGCGATTTAGACGCGATAAATACAAAATACAGTAAATATGATATCTCATTCATAGTTACCGATCGCGCGATTTGATACGCGAAAGTAAATCGCCGCGATTTTTTCAAAACACAAATCATTTTGTGTTTATCGCGAAGATTTTGAAATATTGCTTCGTTAAATACACATTTTGGTTAATTTATCTTAAAATTTAAGATTTAGCGCTATTTTTAAATTATTTGAAATGAATTCAATGGTTACATTTTTTGATGATGTAAAATCAAAGAATCATCAAGGTAAAATTATGATTTAAATTAAAAAATTTTTTTTTAGAAAATAGATAAAACAGCTTTTATAGTATCAGTTAAAGAATATGAATGTTTTATAATAAACAATAATTTATATAAAAATATTATATACAAGAATAATATTTGGGAATTATTAGCCCACCAGTATAATATGCCCAGTAATAATTTTGCATATATATTATATTTATAAACCTTTTTAGATTCATCTCTCAAAGCTCTTTGGAAAAATCTAAGAGATTGTTTCATGAGAGAAAGACTAAAAATGACCAAACTTAAGAGTGGGTCACAGGCAGACCATCATATTTCATGGCCATACTACCAGGATATGCTATTCCTGGTATAAACTGTAACACCAAGGTTACAGTTATCCTCTTTAGATATGGGGGAAGGATCTATTCCAAAAGATGTAAATAATATCTTTAATGAAATTATTGGGGAGACAAATGAATGTAAAATATAACATTTGAATTGGTAATATATTTTTTATTTAGTTGATTGTATTGATAGTGATCTTATAATAGATACTATTATTCCTAAAGGACCCCATTACAGCTTAGTAATGAGTGTGGTAATTATAAATTTTAAAAATATACATTATTTATATTTAAGAATCTATTTTTTCTGACTCTATTATTTCATCTTGTAAATATCCTAAGAGAAGGAATAATGATATAGGTAATTTATATTTATTATTTACTTTATAGAAAATTTTAAAATAGATGAAATAAAAACTTTACTAAAATTAGAACATGAAAAAACGAAATTGGAATTAGAGATGACTAAAAATAGATATAATGAATATGCAATATGTCATGTAATGAGAGAGAAATTAGACAGATGCAGTATTCAAGAGAAGAAAGATCTTTCTGATCAAATGTATGATCTCATACGCAACTTTAATTAAATAAAATTATTTTGTATATATTTTTATTATGAAATAGATATTTTGTGTATATTTATATTATTTTAAATAGATATTTTGTATACATTCATATTATTTGAAATAAAATTATATACTATTGAACAGAGTTGGGCAGGTCCTCTGGAAAAAGAATCTAGATACAGATTCTTTGTGAAAAAATGAATCTTAGATACAGATACTACTATCTTTTTCAAAATATCAAAAAGATACAAGATAAAAGATACTTGTATCTTTTGCCTATTTAGAGTATCTTAAATATAAGATACTTTTAAATTATCATTACCAATTAAGTTAGAATAGTTTGTAAAATACAGTTTTTATTATTTATTTGTGAAGAACATAACATTACCATAATAAGAATAAATATTTGCAAGAATTAATAAAATATTTAATGATGAGTTGATTATAATAATCAGGCATTTTAATATTAGTATTAGTCCATTCTTAGCATAGATAGGGAAGGGAGACTAGTATTGGAGTTGAAATATTAATTTGCAAAAGAGTATTTAAAATAAATTCATTATTTTATAAGATAATCAAATTTTTAAAATATTTATAATTAGACCTTTGCCATTTTGGCATACTTAACATTGTGCCAAAACTAAATAACCTTTCAATTGGAGCTGATGAAGGTATTGCAATATTATATTTATAAAAAATTTCTTTAATGGAAGGATAATAATTAAACATTTATTTTTATTATAATATGTATAAAATACAAAACAAGATATTTATATAAAATAAGATTTGATTAAATTTATAAATATCTATAATATGGGATTTTTATATAAATATAAACATAATAAATTTCTATTAAACTTTGCAATATTTGTTGCTGATTTAATAGATTGTTGATTAAATAAGTGAATTAAAGGGGATAATTTTTTTTTAAGGTTGATAGGAATATATTTTTCCTTATCAATTATAAAGTTATGGAGTAAAGTACATGTTTGTATTATATTTTCTGTTAGCTGTAATCATATGTTGGGTCACCAAAGTTTGCCATATAGCTTTGCAAGTGGTCCTAACAATTTTTTGGATTGTAGATATTCCCATTTTGAATGAATAAGCTAAGGTAGGATATCTACAGCCTGTAGCTAAATATCTAAATAAAAAATATATTTAAATAATAAATTGCTTTATTTTTACCATAAACAAACCATTAGCTTTTCTTCAACACTTATTGGATATTTTATAAAATTTGTGGATGTTGTAAGCAATATTGGTTTTACATGCTCAAGTATGTAATAAAAGGTTTCCTAAATTAAAATGATTTATAGATAAAATAGAATAAAATTACTTTGGTCATCCTCATATAATTGAAAAATTTAACCTTATTTTATAAGAGTTTAGGAAAGAGAATGTAAAATTCGCCCTCTTTTCTTTTATTAATATTAAGATTGTTTAATCTCCTCCTCTTCAATATTATTTTGTATAACCCTGAATTCATAGTGAGAGCGATTGCGATCGCGATTTCGCAGCGACTGATCAGCTGGATCGATTGCAGCGATTTACATTCATAGTGCTAAGCGATTATATTAATTCACAAAATGAGAGCCGCCATATTATTTCTCTTATACAAAATAATATTGAAGAGGAGGAGATTAAACAATCTTAATATTAATAAAAGAAAAGAGACATTCTCTTTCCTAAACTCTTAAAAAATAAGGTTAAATTTTTCAATTATATGAGGATGACCAAAGTAATTTTATTCTATTTTATCTATAAATCATTTTAATTTAGGAAACCTTTTATTACATACTTGAGCATGTAAAACCAATATTGCTTACAACATCCACAAATTTTATAAAATATCTAATAAGTGTTGAAGAAAAGCTAATGGTTTGTTTATGGTAAAAATAAAGCAATTTATTATTTAAATATATTTTTTATTTAGATATTTAGCTACAGGCTGTAGATATCCTACCTTAGCTTATTCATTCAAAATGGGAATATCTACAATCCAAAAAATTGTTAGGACCACTTGCAAAGCTATATGGCAAACTTTGGTGACCCAACATATGATTACAGCTAACAGAAAATATAATACAAACATGTACTTTACTCCATAACTTTATAATTGATAAGGAAAAATATATTCCTATCAACCTTAAAAAAAAATTATCCCCTTTAATTCACTTATTTAATCAACAATCTATTAAATCAGCAACAAATATTGCAAAGTTTAATAGAAATTTATTATGTTTATATTTATATAAAAATCCCATATTATAGATATTTATAAATTTAATCAAATCTTATTTTGTATTTTATATAAATATCTTGTTTTGTATTTTATACATATTATAATAAAAATAAATGTTTAATTATTATCCTTCCATTAAAGAAATTTTTTATAAATATAATATTGCAATACCTTCATCAGCTCCAATTGAAAGGTTATTTAGTTTTGGCACAATGTTAAGTATGCGAAAATGGCAAAGGTCTAATTATAAATATTTTAAAAATTTGATTATCTTATAAAATAATGAATTTATTTTAAATACTCTTTTGCAAATTAATATTTCAACTCCAATACTAGTCTCCCTTCCCTATCTATGCTAAGAATGGACTAATACTAATATTAAAATGCCTGATTATTATAATCAACTCATCATTAAATATTTTATTAATTCTTGCAAATATTTATTCTTATTATGGTAATGTTATGTTCTTCACAAATAAATAATAAAAACTGTATTTTACAAACTATTCTAACTTAATTGGTAATGATAATTTAAAAGTATCTTATATTTAAGATACTCTAAATAGGCAAAAGATACAAGTATCTTTTATCTTGTATCTTTTTGATATTTTGAAAAAGATAGTAGTATCTGTATCTAAGATTCATTTTTTCACAAAGAATCTGTATCTAGATTCTTTTTCCAGAGGACCTGCCCAACTCTGTTCAATAGTATATAATTTTATTTCAAATAATATGAATGTATACAAAATATCTATTTAAAATAATATAAATATACACAAAATATCTATTTCATAATAAAAATATATACAAAATAATTTTATTTAATTAAAGTTGCGTATGAGATCATACATTTGATCAAAAAGATCTTCCTTCTCTTGAATACTGCATCTGTCTAATTTCTCTCTCATTACATGACATATTGCATATTCATTATATCTATTTTTAGTCATCTCTAATTCCAATTTCGTTTTTTCATGTTCTAATTTTAGTAAAGTTTTTATTTCATCTATTTTAAAATTTTCTATAAAGTAAATAATAAATATAAATTACCTATATCATTATTCCTTCTCTTAGGATATTTACAAGATGAAATAATAGAGTCAGAAAAAATAGATTCTTAAATATAAATAATGTATATTTTTAAAATTTATAATTACCACACTCATTACTAAGCTGTAATGGGGTCCTTTAGGAATAATAGTATCTATTATAAGATCACTATCACAATCAACTAAATAAAAAATATATTACCAATTCAAATGTTATATTTTACATTCATTTGTCTCCCCAATAATTTCATTAAAGATATTATTTACATCTTTTGGAATAGATCCTTCCCCCATATCTAAAGAGGATAACTGTAACCTTGGTGTTACAGTTTATACCAGGAATAGCATATCCTGGTAGTATGGCCATGAAATATGATGGTCTGCCTGTGACCCACTCTTAAGTTTGGTCATTTTTAGTCTTTCTCTCATGAAACAATCTCTTAGATTTTTCCAAAGAGCTTTGAGAGATGAATCTAAAAAGGTTTATAAATATAATATATATGCAAAATTATTACTGGGCATATTATACTGGTGGGCTAATAATTCCCAAATATTATTCTTGTATATAATATTTTTATATAAATTATTGTTTATTATAAAACATTCATATTCTTTAACTGATACTATAAAAGCTGTTTTATCTATTTTCTAAAAATTTTTTTTTAATTTAAATCATAATTTTAACTTGATGATTCTTTGATTTTACATCATCAAAAAATGTAACCATTGAATTCATTTCAAATAATTTAAAAATAGCGCTAAATCTTAAATTTTAAGATAAATTCACCAAAATGTGTATTTAACGAAGCAATATTTCAAAATCTTCGCGATAAACACAAAATGATTTGTGTTTTGAAAAAATCGCGGCGATTTGCTTTCGCGTATCAAATCGCGCGATCGGTAACTATGAATGCGATATCATATTTACTGTATTTTGTATTTATCGCGTCTAAATCGCAATCGCGTCACTATGAATTCAGGGTAAGGCGTCATGGTTTACGTTATCGAAAGCCCTGCTAAAATCTACAAAGCTACAAATAGCGTCTCTTAACATTCATGGAATGAAAAACAAATTGGCGGTTCTCCTAAGGATGTTAGCAGCCGAAAAATTGACTTGGCATTCAGGAAACACACTTTCCAGTGGCAAATATGGCTACTTTTAATGACTATAAAATGTTCGTGAACCACCCTGAATAGCTGGACCGGTATAGCGTTCCTTATAAAAAAACGCATGCAGAAACACATAATTAAATTCGTTCCAGTATCAGAAAGATGCGGACTGTTATATTTGAACACAAATTTCAGGCCCACACATTGTAAATTTATATGCCTCCCCCCCCCCAACAGGAACGAGAGATCTAGTTTCGTTGATTCCATGATAAACACGATACTTTCCCTACCTGGAAGATATAATACAATCATCTTAGGAGATCTTAACATGAAAATCGGCAAAGAAGATGAATATGTAAATAGTAATGTTATTGGACATGCTGCCATATGATTTCTGCAGAAACAAAGACTTCAAGGTTGAAAACACCTTCTTTAGCCACCGCGAAAGTAACACATACACTTTCGTGAGAGCTCGGCAAAAATTTCGAATCGACTTTTTCATTTCTAACGTTAACCAGTAGTTTGATGATGTAAAAGCATTAACAAATATTAACGTATAAGATCACAGAATGCAAAGAGTAAACATTACCGTTAAAAACTTATGGAGTTACCATAATGTAAGTAGCCAAACTCCAATCGGTCCAAATTCTCATCTCTCACGAACACTAATAACACGTAAACCAACTAAAGTACAAACACCAGAAGATGTGAGACTTTTGATCAAACATTAACCAGGAAAGAAGCTAACTTTGTAAATGCAATCAGACAGGTAAATGTAGAAGAATGTTGGAAACTTTTTAAAATAGATCTCACAGAATCATACAACGTTTTGCCAAACGCGCTCCTTTTGCTTGGAAAGAATGGATGGCTAGAGACACCTATAAAAAATAAATCAATTAAGAAGGGAGAACACCTCGAACAGTGATCTATGGAAGGATATACAGAGACTACTACGGAGAGATAGACGTATATACACGGCGAAAAAAGCCTTCGATATAGATAAAGATATGAAAGAGAATAGAATCTATGATGCCTACAAAAAATTAAAATATTTCTGCAAACCATGCAGTTTTAAGAAAATCCCCTCATTTGTTCTAAGAAACGGAAAAGTAATCATTGACCAGGATGAGCAAATAGCTTTGTGGCTCGATCACTATATGATGGTATTCGACTCGCGAAAAGCAACGTTACTCACAAATTTAAATATAAATATAGCCGCACCCCAGTCGGGTTTCTCCATAAACGAAATAGTAAAAATAGTAAAAAAAATTATGGAATAATAAAGCTCTGGGGTTGGATAATATTACTGCTGAATACCTAAAAATAGCACCCAGAACAACATCTTACTTTTTATTAGCCCTTTTCAACAAAATTTGGGAGTGCGGAAATACCCCGGAGGAATGGAACAAGTCATTTATATGTAATTTCCCCAAAATTAAAGATCCACAGAAATTCACTGATTACCGTACAGTCGCCCTTACGTCCTGTATCTCTAAGATTTTTATGGTGCTCTTAAAAAACAAAATCATATCATCCACGCCCCATCTATTTCCTAAATATATTTGCGCATACCGGCCTAATAAGAATATTTTAGAACCCGTTTTAGCGTTGAAAATAATAATGCAGAAATGCTGAAGATATAAGATACCATCGTACTATACCTTTGTAGATTTTAGCAGGGCTTTCGATAACGGTAAGCCATGACGCCTTATGGGTAGCACTATCCGATCGCGGCATTGAACCGAACATTATTTTCATCTCATTATTCCAAACTTTCATCGTGTTTCAAAATAAATGATAAAGTATCCCCCTATTTCAAAACAAAAAAAGGCGTAAAACAGGGTTGTACTCTATCACCGCTTCTCTTCAATATCATAATAAATAAGATCATAAAAGAGGTAAATGCTGCAGCTGATTTGGCAGACCTCGGGTCAAATGAAAAACTTCACTTTGCTAATAGGATTGTTTCATATGCCGATGATTTAGTCGTGATATCAAAAAACATTGAAGAGACCGAGACTGATTTTTCTGATTAAAACCCTTAGCCTTAGAGTTGGTCTAAAGATAAACTTCAACAAAACGGTTATTCTTCCCTCGCCAAATACACCACCACTCCAAAGTCTTCTGGTAAGTGAATACGTAATCAAAAAAGTAGATAAAATCAAATACCTCGGAGTGACGCTCAACTACAAAGACGAATGCA